AATGATCCGCTCTGGCGCGTCCGCTCGACCCTCCACTGGATGCCTCTGGGCGGGCACCGACTGGGGAGCACGGCGCCATGGAGCGCGGCCACGACGCTCCTCGGCACTGCCTGCCATGCCAACCCAGTGGACGATCGGTCCATGCACCTGCCTAGGCGCCGGCGGCTTCACAGAGGTCCGCTGGTTGGGCGACGCTGGCTGGCCATTCTTAGGCCCGATCTTGTTGTACGGCTCGCGCTCGCCACTCTTCACCTTGGGGCGCTCCGGGTCGCCGCGCCAGTGGCCAGGCTGATCGCAGTCAGCACACCGGCTGTTAGCCTTGCGCTGGTCTGTCGGCTTCCGACCAGCCTGGAAGGAGCCGCTAGCGTTGATCTTCTTGGGGTCCCGCTGCCGAGGAGCAACGAACCCGCGCTTCTGACGCTGTACCGCCGTCTTCTGCTTGGCCCTCCAGCCGGCCAAGAACGCTTCCTGAAGATCCTCCGGTGCCTCGTACTCCTCGTCGTCAGGCCCGTCGTTGTCCGACACCAGCTCCTCGTCGACCTCAGCGCCGTCCTCGAAGAGGGTGCCCTCGGCCCCTCCATGGTCTCCATCGTCCTGGTCGTCTGCTTCATCTTCGTCATGATGCGCCTCCTCGAGGTCGCCGTGGTGTTCATCGTAGTCTTCGCCGTTCTCTACCTCGTGTACGTGCTGGCCAGGGCGTCCTCGCAGCACGCATGGCCTACGAGCCATGGGAGGGTGCGGATAGCGACCGCCCGAACTCCCAGAGGAGCGCCCGTGCTCACGCTGCGCCGCAAACGGCGAGCGGCGAGGGAGCACTGAGCGCTTCTCGGTGTCGTGCACCTTCGAATAGGCTGCCTTCAGCACAACCTCCATCCGCTTCGAGTCGTAGATGCCGCCACAGTTGAAGAGCACCTGCGCTCGCTCCTTCTGCGACAGTCCAGCGCCACGAAGCATCTTGCTTGCCAATGCGCGATCGCTGATCGCTGATGTGGGATCCTCGAGCTGCAACTCCATGCGCTTCTTGCGCAGGTACGTGGTCCAATCCATGATCGGCTGCCCAGCTCGACGGTGTGCTCGCTCCCAATCCTGATGCACCTGATCGAGGCGCTCGTGATCCATCTTCTCGAAGGCGTCGTCGTAGATAGCAAAGATGGTCTCGAGCGTCTCCTCGCGTCGGAGGTCCGACGCGTCAAGCACCTCGATGAGCTCTTTGGCTCGACCTGTCACTTGACTGTAGATGATCAGGCCCAGCTCCACGTCTGAGAGCTGATTGAGGTTGCGGATGACTTCAACCTCCTTGCGCCACTCTCGGTACTTCTTAGTACTCGTACCGACTCCACCATCGAACTCTGGGAGCCTCACCTGCGACAGCAGTAGACGTGTACGTCTGGGACCGCCGTCGCCACGATCCCGATGCAAGGCCAAGAGCTCCCGCTGGGTCTCGGCCATCACGCGCAGGACTGCATGCAGGTCCGGGGGACCTGTGCCTGCGGAGGACGCAGCCTCCACGTCTGAGCCGTCGTGGCTGGTGGCCATGGCGGCCCACGCGGGTGGTCACAACCACCGAAGCAGAGCACGCAGTGCGTCCGCTGGAGCTTACTAGCTCCGCTACCAATGTCAGTGCAGTTGTTTTCAGCAAAGACCGCGCGGCAGTCCAACTGCGGGTGCGTCCCAGGGCCCTAGGACTAGGGCCAAAACAGCGGCGGGCAGCGTGCATGCCACAAAACAAGACAAGCGTGTACAACATACACACATGGTGGCACGGGCGGCAGAGGGGCAGGGGAGTGCACTCTTCACAGCATGCATCTCGTACCCTCGCGGCCGAGACACGAGCAACCATGTCGAACCCACCTGGACGGGACCGTGAGCATGCATTCTGACCCCACCCGGGCGGGGCCATGAGCGGGCATGTTTGAAGGGGCCCTGGGACACACAAATAAATACACACAAATAACCGGTGTCCCTATATTTTCCCATATGTTCTGAGTTTTTGTCTTCCACCCCGCTTCCCATATGTTTCCATATGTTCTGGGAATCGACGATTCATTGTGTCTGTGTTTTTTCCCCTCCTGAATGTTGACCGCACCCGGGCGGGGTCGCGAGCGAGCACGCCGCAGCCTCCCGGGCACGAGCGAGCATTTCGACCCCACCCGGGCGTCGACCCCCCCCCGGGCGGGGATCACGAGCGAGCATGCTCGGACCCCGCCCCCGGCAGGGGCAGGAGCACGCCTCCGGAGCCCGCCCGGGCGGGGCCGGGAGCGAGGCACTTTGACCCCGCCTGTGAAGGGGCCCACAAACACACACAAATAGATACACACAAATTTAAAAAAAGATCCCCATATTTTCCCATATTGTCTGGGTTTCTGTCTTCCCCCCCCCACTGCCCATATTTTCCCATAGTTTCCTGGGCATCGACGATTCATTGTGTCTGTGTGTTTCTGCCCCTCCTGAGCCTGGCTGGGGGGTCGTGAGCGAGCTCTTGGGCCCCCCGCCTGGGCGGGGTCATCAGCGAGCGTCCTGACGGAGCCCAGGCGAGGGACCGCGTTCAGAGGAGGATGGCGCAGCGCTCGCCCAGACTCGAGCTCGAAACCCATCGCGTAAACCACCGGGTTTCACGACGATGGCTCGGGAGACGCGGTCGGGTGGTGTCCAAGGCGACCGCCTTGCAGCATAACGTCTGCCGCTGCTCTCGGGAAGCACGATCGTGAAACCCATGCAGAGCCTGAAGCTTTTGAGCAATATGCGCGCAGGGTTAATATTTTGATGACGACCTCGCGCGCAGAAGTGATATTATCTGTCAGGGGTAACCTCATGGGATGGTGTGGGCTCATATGTGACATGAACGATGGGGCAGAATCACAGTGTGAATCTCGCTATCCAAGGGCGGTCGACACACCTGGGGGGGGGAAGGGATGGGTAGATCCTAATTTCCGGCCGCAGAGGAGAACCTATGCGAGGCCGCGACGGGGCTGCGAAGGCGACAGCATATACGCTGGCCCGCCAGACAGGCCCAGACGACGGCCGGCGACGTGGCGGCGACGGGGCGGCGACGGCGACGACATAGCCGCCAAACCGCCAGATTGGCCCAGACGACGGCCGGCAACGTGGCGGCGACGGGGCGGCGACGGCGACAACATAGCTGCCAGACCGCCAGGAAGGCCTAGACGACGGGCGGCGACGAGGCGGCGACGGGGCGGCGACGGCGACGACAGAGCCGCCAGACCGCCAGACAGGCCCGGTTCGTTAGACAACAAGCAAGACCCCAAGTGCAAACACTGTTTGAGGAACAACGATAACAACAACAGATCAACTACATGTACAATAACGACGACATCAGCAGCAACCGATACACCGAATAATCCAGCAGAGGCCTCCGAAAACACAGTCCATGCGGCTAGGTGCCTCTTTTGCTAAAACAGAAGACTGGAAAAAAGAAAGAGATGGAAAGAGAGAGAGAGAGAGAAAGAGAGAGAGAGAGAGAGGGAGACAGAGAGAGAGGGAGACAGAGAGACAGAGATCGCAGCACTCTGGGCCGCGTGTCAGCCCTGGCCCCCGGGCTGCACGCGCCCGGCGGGCCGTCCTCGCGTTCGCGGGAGGCGCCGCGCACGCAGCAGGGACGGCGAGTTCAGCCCCCCCCCCCCGCGCGGCCACGGGGGCCCCGTCTGGAAAAGGGAGCGGGCGGCGGTGATCATAGGGAGCAAACAAACCTGCCTCGCTTTCGACCACCCTCGCTGCCAAGAGATACCGAACGACGCCAAACCACGTCCTGTACTCGTCGGGCCGCCGGACGAGGAGGCGCGTGGCATGACTCGGTTCTGCCTGGAAGCGAAAGCGGGGTGGGTAATTCACGCTCTGATGATCAGGCCGCCACGGGGCCCGCCTGCGCCCGCGCGGCGAAAAAAAAAGAGGGGGGCGCCGGCGTGCTCTGGCACGTGCGCACGCCGGCCTCCTCCTCCTCCTCCTCCTCCTCCTCCTCCTCCTCCTCCTCCTCCTCCTCCTCCTCCTCCTGCGACCATGCCAGAGCATTCTGCTTCGCGACCCTGGGGATGGAGAGGCGCCGCCTCGGGGCGCGGCCCACATGGAGAGCGCGAGCGACGCCTCGGGTGCCCACCGTGCCTCGTGGTCCGTTTTGGGGAGGGAGAGGGGGGGGGGGGGGCCGCACTGGCGTGCCGCCCGTGGGGCGTCGAAGAGCACCTGGAGGTCGGCAGGGAGGGCTGCCCCCACTGGCGACTGCAGGCCGGAAGGGCGCGTTTCAGGCCGCTCCAGGCCTGCTGCGAGAGAGAGAGAGAGAGAGGGCGGAGGGGGGAGAGAGAAGGGGAGAGAAGGAGAGAGGAAAAGAGAGAGGGGGGGAGAGGGAGAGAGAAGGAGAGAGAAGGAGAGAGAAGGAGAGAGAAGGAGAGAGGGGGGGGAGAGAGAGAGAGGGGGGGGAGGGGGGAGAGGGAGAGAGAAGGAGAGAGGAGGAGAGAGAAAAAGAGAGAGGGAGAGAGGGAGGAGGAGGGGGAGGGGCAGCGGGGGGGTAGGAGGCGGGGACAGCCCCGCCGCACCGAAGTGGGGCGCGCCGGGGGCGCGCGTTATATCCTCTGACGCCCCACGCGCACACTTCTGGCTGGTTTCCGGGCCGTGCCCAACAGCTGCGACGGGGAAGACAACGTCTGTGGGAAAAAACACACAGTGGGACAAAACAAAAAAAACACGTGGGGAAACACACACACAAAAACACACACACACACACTGTGGGAACAAACACACAGTGTGTGTTCTTCCCACAGTTGTGTTTTTTCCCCACAGTGTGTTTTTTGTGTGTGTGTGTGCGTTTTTCCCCACGGTGTGATTTTTTTCCTACAGCATGTTTTTTTTTTCCCTGGTGGCCGAAATACGAACAGAGCAGGCGCGAGGACAAGTACGTGCACGACTGAAGCCCCCTCCCGGGGCCACGCTTGCTCTGCGGGGGCGGAGGGGTGGCAGAAAGAGGAGAAGGCGAAAAGGGCGCACGGCGTGTCCTCTGGGCAGATCTGGAAGGCCATCCGCGAGGGCTCGTAAAAGAAGAAGGCGTCGCCGCTGAGGCGCCACCAGGTTCGCGAATTGGCAACCTCAGGATCGGTTTCCCCTCCCGCCCATGCTTTATCCTGATTTATCCCATATACTGATGCGCAAGATCCGCCACCGCAACCTGAGACACGAGGTAGAGTGTGCTCAGCTCCCTGGAACCCTCCGGCTGATGCTTACATACTAAAAGGCCCCGACTCCAAGCGCTGCACCTCCCAGGGCTCCCGCATGCCAGAGCGTGTCCCAGCATGACTTCTTCGGAACCCAGAGAGCCCCAAAAACCAGGCCAAACGGGCCACAGGAGGCTCCCAAGACGGTCCAAGAGGGCCCTGGGTCGGCCAAGAGCGCTTCAAGACGTCCAAGGTTGTCTCACGACGGCCCGAAATACCCGCCAAATGCCCCAAGAGAGCCTCGAGATCCCTCCCAAGAAAGGAGGCCCCAAGAGCCCGAAATCGTTGACTGTCCGTAAGCTGTTGAGCGATTGCAACGGTCTCGCCTTTTCGGGATCCCGACGCTTCATAACGGCCAAAGAGGCCACAACGTTCGACCACACAGGCGATTCCAAAAGGCAGGGGGCGGCGGTGATTCGCAGCAGGCGTCTTCGATCCGCCGCCCCCTGGTGATTCATCGAAGAGGTGCACGGCGTGCTAGATGCCTGGGAGGTTTCTGGTTCCGCCGAGAACTCTGGGAAATATGCGAGTAGCGTTTCCCCTCTAGGACGCCCCTAAGATGGCCTCCAAGACAGACAAGATGGACGCCAAGACGGCCAAGATGAACCCAAGAGAATCCAAGATGGCGGCACCAACATGTGCCCAAGACGGCCCAATCTGCACTCGACTCGACCCACTATGGCCCATGACGGCACAGGAGGCCTCCAAGAGGCCATCCAGACGGCCCGAGAGGCTTCCAAGAGGTTGCCCAGGAAAGCCCGCAGAGGCCAAACCCAATCATGTTCCGTTCATTGTTACAGAAATTGGCATTTACTGCTGTTCGGCCTTCCGGCAGCCCAAGACGGCCCAAGAGGCTACCAAGATCGTCCACGAAGCCTTCGAACATGGCCCCCAGACGGCCCAAAAGGCGCCCAGGACGGCCCCAAGAAAGCGCAAGACAGCCCAAGAGGCCTCCAAAATGGCCTCCAAAACAGCCCTGAAGCGCTCATCTAGGGCCCCAAGACGGCTCAGAGACGCCATCAAGACGGCACCCGACGGCGTCAGGCGGGCCAGAAACGCCTGAAGACTGCGAAAGGGGCACCAACAAAAAAAACCCACAGGCCCCCACAAAGGCCCAGGGAGGCTTCCAAGGAGCCTCCAAGAGGCCCTCAGGAAGTTCTCAGGAGGCCCCAAGAGTGCCTCCTCGGGAGGCTCCCAAGAAGTCTCCTCATTATTATCCTCATCCTCTTGTCTCCTCATCTCATCATCCTCCTCTTCCTCCCCACGTGCTCCCCGAATGGCTTCCTCAACGGCTGCGGGGGTGCATGGTCCAATAGCGTGGCCAAACTGTGCCCAAACGTTTGGCCCCGTAGGCGTATGCTAAAAGGCAGGGGTCAGCAGGGATTCGCCGTAGGCGCCTTCGATCCGCCGCCCCCTGTGACTTGGTGCAGGGGTGCACGGCTTGCTGAATGTTAGGGAGCGTTTGGTTCTTTCTGAAAAGTTCCCAGGGGCGTTCGGCCCAACCCGCTGGCCACCCAGAGGGACGCACAGACTTCGGTCTCCATTGGTCGTTCCGCCCCTTGAGAACCAGTGAACTTCCCAGGTCGTGGGCCTTCCTGCTCCAGACGGCCCCGAGATGGCCTACAAGACGGCTACGATGGCACAAAGAGAGCACAAGGTGGGCCCAAGATGTTTTCGAGAGGGGCCGAGGTGCCCCCAAGATGGCACGGGCCCAAGATGGCATCAAGATTTCCCAAGAGGCCTCCAAGACGACCCAAGAGGCCTCCAAGAGCTTCTTCAGGAAGCCCGGAGAGGCCAACATCATTGAGTCCCCTTTGGTTTGTTTACAGAGTTTGGCGTTTACTCATGTTCGGTTTTCCGACGGCCCGAGACGGCCCCAGAGGCCACCAAACCCGCCCCATGAGCGCCCGTCGGTGATTCGCCGCAGACGACTTCGATACTTCTCCCCAGCACCACCGTGCCATCTAGCACTCCGCTGCACAAAAGTGTTGTTCTCGGCAACCAAGCCCCCATGCAATGTTCAACCTCCATGCAATGTCCAACACGGTCGCGTCATTACACCTGGCCCCGCGGGGGCAAGCGTCCCAAACAATCGATACCCCTACAACTCCTATTCTTCCTCCTCGCCCTCCACCTCACCGTACTCCGCCTCCTCCTCCACCGCCATACGCCTCCTTCTCTTGATCAGCATCACCATCATCATCACCATCATCACCACCACCATCATCACCACCACCAACATCATCATGGATCTCTACATTCAGCAGCACCGATCGCAAGGCTCCGGGGCACGCCGAGCCCCGCGCCCGTATCTCCCGGCGCTCGTAGACGCCGTTGAGCTCGTCGCGATCCAGCCCCGACAGCCGGAACGTGTCGGGAGGGGGTTCCAGTTGCTGCGGCTGCTGCAACGGAAGGCCTGGGTGGGAAGCCACAAGCACAATTGGGGATCGTTTCGCCCTTTCCGACATCGTTTCGAAATTCCGGTTTTGGGAGAGCAATGCAATCAAAAAACAGAGTGGCACGAGAAAGTGACCGCGGGGAGAGTGTGTTGAGAGCTCTGGGGCCCGTGGAATGAAAGGAACCAGCGTGGACCTAAAGCAAGAGACTCTTGCAAAATCTAAGTGGTGCAATTTATTTCTGTTCGCAGTGAGTTGTCCACTCAACTGCTCGCGCAAACATCCCACCCACCCACCCACCCGCAACTTGGTTTGCAAAATCTCTTAAGACCGTGACGGTGGGTACCACATGGCACTTGGCAACAACAGCGACGCCGACGACGACAGCGACCACGACGATGACGACGCCGCCGACAACGACTACGACGACACCGACGACGTCTCCAACGACTTCGACGGCGCCGACAACGACGACGACGAGGACGACGACGACGACGACGACGACGACGACACCGACGACGACGACGACGACGACGACGACGACGACGACGACGACGACGACGACACCGACGCCGACGACGACGACGATGACAACGACGACGACGACGATGACGACGCCGACGACGACGATAACGACGACACCGACGACGACGACGACGTCAACGACGCCGAAGACGACGACGACGACGACGACGACGACGACGGCGGCGACGACGACGACGCCGACGTCGACGACGACGAAGACGACAACGACGCCGACGCCGACGACGACGACGAAGACGACGACGGCGTCGCCAACGAAGACAACGAGGAACGAGGGAGGACGACGACGGCGACAACGACGACGACGACGAGGGAGGAGGGAGGACGGCGACGACGCGAACGACGAAGAAGGAGGAAGGACGGCGACGCCGACGACGGCAACGACGAGGGAGGAGGGAAGACGACGACGACGACGACGACGACGACGACGACGACGACGACGACGACGGCGACGAAATAGAAGGGACGACGACGAGACGCCGACGACGGACGACGACGACGACGAGGGAGGAGGAGGAAGGACGACCACGGCGACAACGACGACGGAAACGACCACGACGCCAAAGAGGACGACGACGACGAACATGAGGAAAGACAGAGGACGACGTAGGCGACGACGACGACGACAACGACGCGGGAGGAGGGAGGACGGCGACGACGACGACGACGACGCAAGAGCGCGCGCGCACGCTTTTGTTGAAAATCCGTGTTGCGAAACCTTGTGTTTGTAAGATGTTTGACACACGATTTTCACATCCTTCCGAAACCGATGGGTTTTGAAGGTTTTCGGCATACGCGCGCGAAGACGCGCGCGTCTGCAATTCGTCATATTTTTTGCCGGGGATTCTCGCGACGGCACATGCGCAAGGGCGTTCGACAGATTTCGACATGAGCGCGCGCGGATCCTGTTTGGTAGCAGTTTGTGAAAATCTTTTAAACAAACGATGGTTTTCTTATGAGTTCGCAAGAGTTTCCGCGGAAGTTGTTTAAGCAACTCTGTGTTGCGAAACCCTGTGTTTTTGTATGTTTTTTGGAAACTCGATTGCGAATTCCTTCCCGCACCGAAGGTTTTTGAAGGATTTCGGCATGCGCGCGCGACGACGCGCGCGTGTGCACTTCGTCTCATGTTTTGCAAACGGGTTCGTGAAAAAGTGTTATGTTAGAACCAAATCTGTCACCGCATAGTGTTTTTTGGTAAGGGAACCTCAGGGGGGGGGAACCGGTTTGGCTGGGATGATACGATTTCATATTTAGGATGGACGAGTGTACAGAATATATATATATATATATATATATATACACACTAGAACCACGCGCGCGCTTCGCGCGCGCTTGGGTTCTAGCTAGGAGGCGAGCTTGAGCCAACGAAAGTCGCAGGGAAGGGGGCAGGGGGAAGAAGGCCAGAGAGCGCTGAAGGATACAAATACTGGAACCCTCTTGTGATTTTGTGGGGGGCCTCGTCCGGCCGCTCGCTGGGAGTTTGACGTAGCTTCTCGGGAGCCTCTGAACCTGTCGGGGGCCTCCTGGAAGCAGGTTCGAAGCATTTTGGGGGCCGATTTGGGGCTTCTCGGGGCCTCCTTTGGGCCTCTTGGGGGTCTCCTGGGGCCTCTTGAGGGGCCTCCTTGGGGCCTCCTGGCGGCCTCTTGGGGCGGAAGGCTCGAGCTTGCGGTTCGTGGTCCCCCTCTGGGCCCCCTCTTGGGCCCGTCTTGGGGCCCTCTTGGGCCATCTTGGGCGCCTCTTGGGCCGTCTTGGGGCCCTCTTGGGCTGTCCTGGGGCCCTCTTGGAAGCTTCTTGGGCCGTCTTGGGGCGGTCTTGGAGGCCTCTTGGGCCGTCTTGGACGCGGTGAAAGCCCAAGATGCGAACATGCGAAAAATATACGTTTTCCCATAGGAATGGCACGATTTTTGTTTCTTGGACCTCTCTTGGGGTGCCTCTCGGAACGTCTTGGGCTGATTTTGGAAGCCTTTTGGCGCCTCTGGGCGGCGTTTTGGCGCCTCCTGGGATATGTTGGGCCGGAAGCTCGGAATTCGAGAGTGGCTTTCTCCTTCTGGGACCCCTCTCGAAGTCGTCTTGGGGTTCTCTTGGGCCGTCTTGGGGCCGTCCTGAGCCACTCGTGCGCAGCCTTGGAGCGCTCCCGGAGGCCTCCTAGGCCGTCTTGGAGGCCTCTTGGGCCGTCTTGGACGCGGTGAAAGCCCAAGATGCGAACATGCGAAAAATATACGTTTTCCCATAGGAATGGCACGATTTTTGTTTCTTGGACCTCTCTTGGGGTGCCTCTCGGAACGTCTTGGGGTGCTTTTGGGAGCCTTTTGGCGCCTCTTGGCGGCATTTTGGCGCCTCCTGGAGCCTCTTGGGCCGGAAGCTCGGAATTCGAGGTTGGCTTTCTCCGTCTGGGACCCCTCTCGAACTCGTCTTGGGGCTCTCTTCGGCCGTCTTGGGGCCGTCCTGGGCCACTCGTGCGCAGCCTTGGAGCGCTCCCGGAGGCCTCGTAGACCGTCTTGGGCGCCTCTTGGGCCGTCTTGGACGCGGTGAAAGCCCAAGAGGCGAACATGCGAAAAATATACGTTTTCCCATAGGAATGGCACGATTTTTGCTTCTTGGGCCTCTCTTGGGCTGCCTCTCGGAGCGTCTTGGAGGCTTCTGGGACCTTCTTAGTGTCATGACAGGCGTCTTGGAAGGCATCTGGAGCCATCGGAGCGCGTTCCGAAGCCGCCTGCGAACGATCTTGGACGGCGTCCGGCGGTCCGACGAGCCTCCGGGCCCCCCGGGGCCCACATTTGTGGTCGGGGTCCCGGCCCCGGGCCCCCGGACCCGGTGCGCCGTTATATGTATATGAAATCATATTATCCCAAGGGGGAACCGATAAGTCCGGGGGGGGGAGAGTCTATTCTCTTTTTAGAAAAGAAAATTCAACCTGCCGAACTTGAACTTGTCGGTTCCAATGCTCGCGCAACCATCTCACCCACCCACCCGCAACCTGGTTTACAAAACCCATGCGGCGGCGACTGCGATGTCTTCTCGGCGTTGGTTGGCGCATCGCTGCGGCCGCGCTGGCCCGCGCTTGCTCACGCACGCAACGGCCAGCTAGTTTGGCGCAACCGACGCGGCCGCGGTGGGGCTGACCGCTGGGACCCTCCCAACGGGCACATCAGTGCGAGTCGGCGACTTGGGCAGGCGCTGTATCATGGCAGCGTCGACGACGGTGCACACGATGATGATGGTAGCGATGCTGGCGACGATAATGACAATGACAACGACAAGGCCAGTGACGGCGCCGTTGCTGATCACGCCGGCGAACTTGACGGCGTCCCCGCGCCTGTGTTGAAGGTTTTGGGAAGAACTCGACGTGCGCGGGCGGCCGACGCGCGAGAGCGGCCGGCATGGAATTATCTGACACAGATCGTGCCCCCCAGCACGCGCGCAAGGGCGCCCGAATGATTTCGACATGCGGCGCGAGAGGCCCGTTTGGCCGAACTCAAAGAAAATGCTGGGAAACAAACAACCTATTGGTTTTGTAAAATTCACAGGAACGCGAACGCAGGCATTTTTGAAAACTGATGCTGCAAAACCATGAGCTGCTATACGTGTTCGGAACACTCGATATGGGAACACATACGAGATCCAAGATGCTAGAAGGATTTCCGCATGCGCGCGCGGAAACGTGTTCGCGCGCATTTCGCCCCATCGTTTGCAACAAATCGTTGTGACACCACGCGCGCAAGGGCGTTCAAACGATTCCGACATGCGTGCGCGAGAGGCACGTTTGCTAGCATTCGATGAACATGTTGAGAAACCGCTGGTTGTCGTCAGAATGTTTGTTGTTGGATACTCGTGTTGCGAAGCCCTGTTTTTTTTAATGCCATCGGGACACTCGAGTCTGAAATCACTACCAAAGCCTCGGGGTGTTGACGGATTTCGGCATGCGCGCGACGACGCGCGCGTGCGAACGGCCTCCCATGGCTGCGACAGGCTTATGAAAATTGATGGTTGTGGGTAAGCGGATGCGCGCGCGTGCGCATCATACTTTTGCAGAGGATGAGGGGGGGCGATACCAGTTTCGCTGGGATCATATGAACTCATAGTTACGATGGGCGATGGGGCTGAATCATATGTAAGTTACAATGCGAATGAGTTTACGGTTGGGTCCAGGAGGGGTGTAGATCCTATTACCTTTTTTCAGCAAGGAGAATTCACGAACGCTCACTAATGAAGTGCCAACTCCACTGCTCACGCAATCATCCCACCCACTGGCCCACCCGCAACTTGGTTTGAAAAACCCATGCGGCGGCGATTGCGATGCCTGCTCGGCGCTGGCCAACTAATTTGGCGCGATTGGCGCGGCCTCGGTGGCGCTGATCGCTGCGTCTCGCAGGCCGCGCTGACACGCGGGCACGTCAGCGCGAGTCGGCGACTCGGGCGGGCGCGGTCTCATAGCGACGCCGACAACGGCAGACACGATGATGATGATAACAATGCT